TACAGGAGGGGCAGTTTCAAACCATTAAATACTTTCTACAACTCAATACAAATATAAACGCATGCCAGAAACATCTGAGAATCCCAAACCCTTTTTTTCACATACTTCCTAAGTTATGATCTTAGAAATAACCTGTGCCACAACTACTGAGGCCTACACACCTCGAGCCCGTGCTCCGCAACAAGAGAAGCCACTGCAGTGAGAAGCCTGCGCACTGCAACGAAGAGTAGCCCCTGCTCGCCGCAACTAGAGAAAGCCTGCTCGCAGCAACAAAGACCCAACGTGGTCAAAAATAAATAAATAAAAATAAATAAATTTATAAAATAAAAAAAAAAAAGAGTCTGTCCCCAGCAGAAATGTTGGAGTGGCCCAGGCAAATAACCTTTTCTTCTATCATTTCAAGTTGGATTCTCAGATGAGATACAGAGAAATTTCAAATATTTTACTGGAAACAGAATATAGCAGAGATTCAACCTTAAGCTTAAGTCTTGTTTGCCTTAGGATGCAGCTGTATCTGGGTTTGTCTAAAAGACAGGTTGCCATAGTTGGCCAAGAGTCTAATTAAACAAATAATCAGGAAATATCATAAAGAAGAAAAATAATTTAGGAGACTGCTGGTTCAACACTCACCAGGCATGCATTAGCAGTCACAGACGGCAACAGCAGTAACAGCAGGAATCATGGTGTCCCCAGTGTCCTGGAGATCAGCATTTTTAGTTTTTAGTTTCCACAGCCTTAATGCAAATGAACATCAGAAGCAGGAGAAACATTTTTGTAAGGCAGCAGCAGTGGCCCTGGGGACTTCTGTTAATATGATACTGGGGCATAAATTACTGCTGATCTCAGAAGCAATTGAAGATATAAGGTAAAGAGACTAAATAACAGATCTCAGAGGAGTGACACGTTCTTGAAATAAATGAGATACCCACTGCAAAAGTTTTGGAAGCTCTTGAGGGAAACTAGAATTTCCAAAGATTAGACAGGTCCAGAGTCAAAGAAATATTGTTTTATGACTTACAGTGTAGCCTCAGAAACGTATTTTATTTAGGAAGTAAAAACTGTAAGGCTGATTGGATATGGAGAATTAGTGATAGAGAATTTCTAAAATGACTCCAACTCTTTTTTGCTTAGGCTATATAGGCAGATGATAATGCTAGCCACCAAGACAACAGAAGGAGCAAATTTGGGGCAGGATAAATGGGTGGCTGGTTTCAGAGATGATGACCTTCGCTTTTAACTTGACCTCTGTAGACTGTACAAGTGGAGATGTTCATCAAGTAGTATGTAACAGTCTTGATATCAGCAGAGCAATCAGTAAGTTCAAACAGAATAAAAACAAAAAGTGATGATTGGATTTACCAGTATATTTTTGGTGAACATGACAAGAACATTCTCAGTGAAGTGGTGGAGGTGGAAGCCAGATTTTTTGTGTGTTGAGGTGTGACTGCATGGTGAGGAAGTGTAAACTACTTTTTTTTTTTTCAAAATTCTTAACTAAGAAGGAATAAAGAAAGATAGGACATAGGAAAGGTCAAAAATGCTTCTTGGTTGATTTATTACAAGCAAAATGAAGGAGAACTGGAAAATGAAAGAAACACTATTTAAAGAAATAGGCACTGACATCAGACAACTTGAATTTGGGGTGGAAATAAAGAGGATTTTCAAAGGTATGAGCCAAAACTCTATGCCTATTAGGCCACCCTCAGAATGAGGCTGCTTACAGTAGCACATTTCTCTTCCAAATTTCAAGCCTGTTTCTGCCTCAATATTTCTTCTTTCCAAGGAGAAGCTGACATCACAATTAACCTTCAATGTAGAAAAGCCTCTGTGCCTTGGTTGCTTAAGTGAACTTTGACACAGAGATTGAGAAAAGCCTTGGAGGCATATTTTATCTCAGATACCTAGAAACCTTGTGATTGCTAGATGGCAGAAAGCAAAGGAATGACAATCCTAAATATGCAGACAGCACATAATCACAAGAACAGTGTACTGAAATGGAAAGAGACTTGGTAAGCCCAGTGTGGCAGATGCTGTCAGTGTCCCATCCTTTACCCCTTGGTCCACTTGAAAGCCTTGGCAGTGGCAGTATACAATTTTCAGCCTGATGACAACTTGACGCCTCTAGTACCCACATCTTCCTTCTTATCATCCTGTTCTGCTGCAAGGAGGCATTTCCTGGAGGTATGGAAATGGCCTGCTTGCTGCTTTCTGTGGGCTGGTTTCTCAAAAGGTCCCCAGTGGGATCAAGCCCCAGTTGCCCACATGGATAACCCACTCATCACAGCACCCTTTATTGGCTTTTCTTTTTTTCTCACCTAATTTTTTCCAATTCCTCACTTGGGCATTCTGGGATCTTCCAAATAAACTCTTTGCACACAAATACTTGTGTCAGGGTTTGTTTAGGGACAAACTCAAACCGAAAAATCTGGTAAGTTATCATCTGGGAATCCATCTTTAAGAAAACAATTGGGAATATGGGACAGGGAGACCCTTATGAACAAAGATTGAATACTGTGGTTTTAGTCATGCCACCCAAATCTCCCCAAGTCTACCAATAAGTTTATATTAACATTGGTATTTGAATCCCAATACTTAAACCTAACTGGCTCTTAGCTCTTCTAAATACTTTTTGAAAGTCCGCAAGTAGTAGCTTATGTTTGCCTCCAAATCACTCTGGGAGGTCACCACCTGAAGCCTCTGCCTTTACCACTTCACTGGCCTCTACTGCCCTGGGCTGAAGTCTCTGAACTTGCCCCATCACCGATGCTCATAATGATGATGCTGTTTCTTCTCCATAGCCTCTTTTTTTGTTTGTTTGTTTACCTGTATTTTATTTTACTTTAATTTTTAATTTATATTAGAGTATAGTTGATTTACAATGTTGTCTTAGTTTCAGTTGTACAGCAAAGTGATTCAGTTATTCATATACATATCCATTCTTTTTCAGATTCTTTTCCCATTTAGTTTATTACAGAATATTGAGTACAGTTCCCTGTGCTATACAGTATATCCTTGTTGATTATCTATTTTATATATAGTGGTGTGTATAAGTTAATTCCAAACTCCGAATTTATCCCTCCCTCCACCTTTCCCCTTTGGTAACCATAAGTTTGTTTTTGCAGTCTGTGAGTCCATAGCCTCTTAAAACTAAGAAGTTAATGTTCTACCCCTTCCTCTTGAAACTAGGAAGTTATGTTCAATGTGGGGTTCCACAGCAGGTTTTTGTGGGCATTACCTGGCTATCAAAGAACTACCAATAGTTAAGCTTCAGTTTAAACACATGGCTCTTCCTCACCTCTCCTTCAAGGCACACAGGTATCATTATTAGAGCATCTAGACTGAAAAAGGCATCCACACCATAATCATTTTGCAATACACACATGTATCAAATCATCACATTGTAGACCTTAAACAATGTTATATGTCAATTATACTTCAATAAAGCTGAGAAAAAACAGGTGTCCACACCAACTGTCACATTAAACCCAAAACTATGAGGCCATGTTGCCAAACCTGCTGATTTGCAAGTGCATTTTAGGAATTCTGTTTGATAGAGCTGCTCTTCTCCTTCTGAAGCCTAACTTATTGACTGGCTGACATACCTATACCTCAATCTATTACACAGTTGTGGACACATGCATACATACATACATACTTACACACACACACACGCACACAGGTACAAATGCATACATACATACAAACTCACATGCACACCCATATACACTCATATGCAAACATTATTCAAGGTTTTCTTTTGGAGAGTTGCATTGCCATCACATTTTTTTTTCCAGTTATGAGGTTCCTCAACATCCGAAGTTAATGGATATAAATATTTCTCTGAAGCAAAGACTGTCATCCATTTTAAAATGCCAGCCATATCTCAAAGTTCTGGCAGAGTCCCTATTAAAATGAGAAGAAATAAGAGAGAAAGAGAGAAAGAAGAGGGAAATGCGAAAAAAAAAAGGTTTTTTTAATGTAAGAGAGCTAGAAAGAGAGAGAGAAATCAAAAGCACCAAATATGGGAAATGGTTAAATAAACCATGGAATTACCCATACTCTATAGACTCTTAAAATATATTTAAAATGATGTCTATAAAGGCTTTACAGAGGTACATGAAATGATCATTATCATCTTAAATTTCAGAAAAAAACAAGATACAAAATACAGGATAATCACAACTACATTAAAAAAAGGCCTGGGGGGAAAAAACCAAAAGGATATTAGCAGTAACTTTCCAATTACATTTGGGTTATAGAAATATTATTCATTCTTCCAACTTTATGGTTTTTTCTACCATTGTCAGTTTTATAAATAAACTACATATGTATGCATGTGTGTACATACTATGTGTACATACACACACTTGTATGTGTGCATGCATGTGCATGTATGATAAGCAAATGCAGACATTAAACTTGGTTTTACAAAAGAGAGGGACTGAGAACTGACACCCCTTGACATTTAACTCCTGGGTCAGCACCTTGATACAGTACACTCTCAGGCACTGTTCTTCATTTCCTGTTTAACTACTGCTGTTCTTAGATCCAAGTTCCCATTTCATTTACAGATTTACTAAGAAAGATATGTGATCATGTTGTGACTGTAATATAAATGGGCCCCTTTTAATTCCACACCTCTCAGCCCCATCATCACAGCACTAGCAAGGTAAGACAGTTAGGTCAAGAGCTATTCTCCTATTTCCAAACTAAAAATGGTAAGTCAGGATTGCGTAACAATGGTGAGCTCTCTTACCAAGCAGTACTAAGCAAAAGTTTAAAGACACACGTTTAACCTACTTACTTCTTTTGAACTGGACTAGAATCCAGAGATAGGAGGTACCTGCGGAGGTCACAGAAGATTTTTTTTCTAAAATGAGGAACAACTGATTATCTCTCAGGATATTATCCTATAACCAGGCTCTAGAGGACTTAGAGGTACACAGTACTCTCTTCGGAGGATTTATATCACGTACAAGCATAGATCAAGTGGTACTCACCACAGCAAGCAAAAGGAAGCTCTGGCTATCACTGTGAACGCACGCTCCTTGTCTCCAATCGCAGAAGAGGCCACAGGCATCGTCTGTGTGTCAGGCACATCCTCTGAAGAAAAGAAAAGCCAATCCCTCACTTTTCTTATGACTCATCTAGGCTACAACATTTCAATCAGTCAAAACAACTTAATGCCTTGCTTCTAATAACATTAATTGAAGCAGAAAAGAGAAAATGGGGGGGAAGGGAGAGGAAGGAAGAAGAAACAAAGAATTTCTCTAGATGTAAATTTAATATTTTTCCAAAGCATAAGAACAATTAAAATATATTTCTTTATTGTTTGTAGTTGTGGCATGAGTTCTCCCACATTACCCTTCAGACATCCTGCAAATGTCACTGGATTTTGCAAAAAACATGGAATATTTTAATTCTTGATTAAGAGAACATTCCTCCTAAGGGCACTAAATTGCTATGAACAGAGGCATCAGCAAAGGTACTTCAGTCTTCCTTGAGTACTGATGCCTGCACTGCTCTAATGTGCATCTTCTTTGGAGACCTATTTCTATGTCCCACTGAGGATGATGGCGTTTGGTTTCCCAAAGCATCTTTCCACTTCTGCTCCTTACAGCTGCTTCTTGATAAAGCTTAGATGATAAGACTTTACAGAAGTGATGTCACTCTTTTAAGAGAAGGCAGCTATTCCATAGGAAAGGAATACTGTCCTCCAATTTACATTCCCCTGGGACTTCTTATATATTTTGCTACATTTCACTGCATTCATAACTCAAAGCCAAGCCTGTTTAAAGTTCCATTAAAATTTGGTAGCTAGGAAGCACTGACTGCTGTGATATAACATTTTAAATGAGTTACCAATAGCCATACGTTTTTATACCTTTTATTAGAATACTGAGAAATTCTGGTTACAGAAATACATGCTATAGTACTTGGAAATATAATATCCCCATGGACTAAAGGAAGGCAAACTTGTGCGGAAAAGGTTGTTTCCAGTGCTGGCAAAATGACTGTTAGCTCAAGCTGAAACATAAATTTTAAAAGATAGTGTATTTAAGCAGGCAGGAATCCACAGATGATCCATAAAATGTATTGACACAAAGGAACACAGAACTTATGGTTCAAATGAGAGGGATAAAATCTGTAAGGAGGAAAGGTAATATAGGGGGAAAAAGAGCGTATGAGATCCACAGAAATGTTCAGAATCATAGAAGCTAAAACTGCAAACTATAAATCTAGGCTGTGTTTCTAAGCACAGTCCTGTCAGTGTTCAGATGGGTCTTACGACTGCTGCTCCAATCCCGCTTTTGCTATTCTCACTACATTTCTTCTAATTATAGCCCTTACTACCATGCCAAATAATTGACATGTCTTTCTCTTTAGGATTAACATTCTCCATGTGATTGGAAACACTCCCACCCTCTTAGCTACCCCTTACCAAGCTATTTAATTCTTCTAATCATCTCTTCTAGAAGTAATCCTAGCAGTTCCCTAACCACTATTATTACTATTCTCTGTATTTATTGCATTTTGACTATAATTTTCTGGTAATGAGATCCCCCAAACAGAAGTATCATTTATTATTCCAATTACGATTGTGTCTCTGCCCCGTAAAGAGTTGCAGCTCCCTCCTGCTACGTAATAGGGTGCAACCATAGACGGCTCTAAAATCATAATAATGTTCCTGTGTACCATCACATTTCAGCCTCATTTCCCATTTGTTTTTCTCTATTACCATAGGTCTTTTTGACAATACTATTTCCAGGGTAGTCTTTCTCTCTGAGGATCTTGTTTTTAATTATGTTTTCAACACATGTGAGCCTCCTCCTTTCCACACAGGATCCATTTTCTTGTTCTTTGTCCAAATTTATTTTTTCATAAGAATAACAAGTTCAGATTTGTTTTGTACCCAGCATTGCAAACCCCTGAAGACTGTACCTAAATGATATAATACCATTTCACCACTTCTGTTTAATATCAAATATAACTATAAAGGCTTTAAGTGGTTTCAAATCCTTCCTAATTTCCATTTGAAAGTTTCTTCCTTAATCAGAGAAACTATTAAGATGAATAAATAGAGTTAAACAACAAATCAAGATATTACAAAATACAAGGCTCAAGAATGAATATTTATTGCTTATTGGTTTGCAAGCTGGAGTGCATGTACAGAGGGGAGTGAGAGACCAAAGAAAGAGGCAGAACACTCCAGATTAGTAGGTGGCAGTTTTAATACGTAAGGGAATTTACATACAATGCTTGTGTCTTGGGGGCAGCAAGATGAGCAGCTCTCTGCACCCACCAACCAGAATCTTAAAACTTTATACAGAGATCTTAACTGGGTTCAGTCACGTATACCGTCCAGATGGTCTCAACAACACATTGCTCTGTCAAGGCTGCATCCTTGGAACAGCTCCCACTGTGGGAACAGTGGGCAAAAGGTGTACATCCTAAGGACAGGGGAGCGAATGCAAAGCCTCTAATACCTGGGTCCAGTTTGTGGGTCAACCAGCGGTCGTGTCCTCTCCAAGATCTCCTACAACACTCCACCCCCTCGAGACCCAGCTCTTGGCTCTTACAATCTCACACACACCCCACCTTCCGGAATGTGCCCTGAGTTACCAGCAAGGGGTTTCACTAGCGTGGAAGCGGCTCATTTGGTGGCTACCTGGCTGCATTGGAGGCAGATGCCACAGCAGCAATAGAGGCACACGCCAAGAGAAAACACAGATCAAAATAATGATTCCCAAAATAAATAACAATTTTTTCCACCCAGAGCCCCATGATCCGAACCACTGATTTATGAAGTCCCTTAGACTGGGGGGTCTGATCCCTCAGAGCATTCACTTGTGTCCTCATGTGATTTAATAAAGACAATACATCAGTTATGAACATACAAAACTCTGGATAATGGCACAGGTGTCTCCTTTTAAGGCAGTAATAATGTCAAAGGCCATTCTATTTTGAAAGACAGTTTTGCTCATTAGAGGCATTTCAGTGTTCAATAAAGATAGGTTTTGCCAGCTATTATTTAAACTTGCTGGTGAATTTAGTAAAGGCTTCTATGTGTGCTACAAATGTCCTCCAGGCCAATGGAGGGAAAAAAGACAGCAGCCAAATGATTGTGCCAGTGCAAAACAGAACATGCCTACCTGACCTTGAAGTGGGCAGCTTTAGGAACCTGAGTGGGTTGTACACACTATACATATTGTCCAGGGGAAGCAATACCGTCAGGCGTGAGGTGATGGACTAGGGCACAGGATATGCCAGACCAGGATTTCCACCTTTCCCTCCTTTCAGTGGTGCATGTTCCATTGCAAGTATAGTGTTTCAACAGGTCTGACTTGCAGCAAGACAACGGTATCCCAGTGGAGACTGAGTTGTTCCCCCTCACCCAGGGGTGCAAAGTAACTCACCCATCCTGGTGTGACACCCCATTAAGAATTTCAGTACAAAATGCCCTTCCAGGCATGACTCAGTGCTCTCAGCAGCACAGCACATTGATCCACCACGAGAGCTGGGGCAGTGGCTATCTCCTGTGACTTTCGTATCTCTACAGTGTTGGGTGTCTCGGCAGGGGTTCCCAGTCTGGCATACGGGGTAACAGGCCTTACAGGTTGATCATTCAAATGAGTTAAAGCCTGGGACAGCACTTTAGTATACCTGGCCAACACTGTTTTACCTGTTAGTAATTTAATCGCTGCTTTAATATTTCATTCTTCCTTTCTACCAACGCTTGTGCATCAAGTTTACAGGGGAGTTGGAAGCCCCATTAAGGTCATGTTTTTTGGGGTTTTTGTTTTGTTTTGTTTTGCTTTGCCCCATCTTGCATATCATGACCTTTGAAATGTGACCCCCCCCCCCCCCGCCAGTCACTATCTTTTAGATGAGGGTATGGTACTTAGCTTTTCTAATCCCCTAATGGTGGCCAGCCTGGTTTCCATGGTAACAGGGGAGAGGTTGGGTTAAGCCAGATGCAGTGTCCACACAAACTAGGACATATTTAGAACACTCACTCAGAGGGAGGGGGCCAATATAATCAATTTGCCAATCCCTTACTAGTTGGGAACTCTGGTGGTTGGCCCCAGAGTCCTTTGGCAGCTTCCTTGGGCATTGTTTAGAACACACAGGACATGCTGTTATTGCATTAACTAAGTCACTGTATTTCAAGGGCAATCCAGCATCCTTGACAATATGCATTCCCACCTGGGTGGTATGGTGACTGCTCTTCCTATGTATCCATCTGCTATACCATCTACTGACAGGTCATGTGTTAGGGCTCATACCTGAGCTAGGGCATCAGCTTCCTGATTGCCAGGGGGTGCCAGTGCCAGCTGGGAGGGGGAAAACAGTGAGAACTGCCTCAGGCTCTTACAGGTGAACCCAAATGTCTACAAATCCTGACCTCACAAGGACTTATTCATGAGTATTCACCCCTCAGCTTCCCATTGTCCAAGCTATAGGGTTAATCCCTTTAGAACAGCCTGACTCTCAGTGCAAAGGGTTAACAGCCAGGGCTCATGAGTGATCACCAGTCAGTGGGCTCTAAGTTCAGTCCATTGGCTACAGTGGTCCATTCCTGTTTCCATCCAGATGGTGTCAGTGTTGGGCAGAATAGCAACTGTAGTCTTTGTGGATTTGTTGCCCCAACTCTCCATCTATCTACCAGGCCTCAGGGGAATTTCCTCCGTTCCCTTTCTACAGGCTGAAGGGGCTGCTATAGGAATAGGGGTGGGGGCATTTAGAGCTCTATATTCTCTACAGGGCCTAGCTGCACCTACATATCTAGAGACAGCGGGCTGGTGGACAACGTAATCCTCTGCTGCAAATAGGCATGCCACATAGTGCGGGAGTCTGAAGGGTTAATGGAACGGATTTTCAACCCACCCCTTAATTCGAAGGGAAGTTCTTACTATGATATGCTCTTCCATCATGAGAGGCTCTACCTGGAGGAGTGCTGTGTACACGACTAGGAGCTCTTGCTCTGTTGGAGGATATCAGGATTCTGCCCCCTTCCAGAGCCGGGACCAAAATCCTAAGGGTACTCTCTCCTTCTGTCGTCTCTGCCACAGTGTCCAACTCATACCTTCTAGAGTCACAGAGAAATACAATTCAAACAGTATTCCAGCTTGACAGATGCCCAGAGCTTTAATCTGCTTCACTAGCATATTTGCCTTCTCAAAGGTGTCTTGTTGCTCTGATTCCCAGTCCCCCATCTGCCTTTTCTTTACAAGGTAGTATAAGGAACAGAAGCACTGTGCCAGGTGAGGAATAAAAGTCCTCCAAAACTCCCAAACCCCTCCAAAGCCTGCACCTCTTTCACGTGCTTAGAGGTTGAATAGGCTTGCACCTTATCAGTCACAGCTCTGGGACAATATACATTTTACCTGACCAAACAACTCCCCAAAACTTTACAGCAATGCCTGGACCTTGAATTTCTTGCCAGTTCACTGCCCGTTCTCCCTTACAGGTATTCCAGCAAAATCTGCAGAGTGTCCTTCAGCAGAGGCAAGGCTTCACGTGTTAACATTATAGCATCAATGTCATGGGCCCATTTTACTGATGTGGGAAAGGAGAACAGGGACAGATCTCAGGCTACCATCCCATGACACACTGTGGGGCTGTGCAGGTAGCCTTAGGGAAGCATGTGAAAAGTCCATTATTGCCCCTTCCACATGAAGGCAAATTGATCTTGTGACTCAGTGGCCAGGGGTATACTGAAAAAAGCATTTGTTTAAATCCAGTAGAGCATGGTATACTCCTATGACTGTGGCCCAGTTATGTAAGATGGTGGCAGTGCTGAGCACAGACACATGGATGGGGAGCACTGCCCTGTTCAATTCTCAGCAATCCATGGTCATCTGCCAGGAGCCATCTGGCTCTTTTACTGGCCATACTGGGCTGTTGAAAGTGGGCATACAGGACTTCCCTGGTGGTGCAGTGGTTAAGAATCCGCCTGCCAATGCAGGGGACATGGGTTCGAGCCCCGGTCCAGAACGACCCCACGTGCCATGGAGCAACTTAAGCCCGTGCGCCACAACTACTGAGCCTGTGCCCTAGAGCCCGTGCAGCGCAACTACTGAGCCCACACGCCGCAACTACTGAAGCCCGCACACCTAGAGCCCATGCTCCGCAACAAGAGAAGCCACCACAATGAGAAGCCTGCGCACCGTGACAAAGAGTAGCCCCTGCTTGCCGCAACTAGAGAAAACCCGTGTGCAGCAATGAAGACCCAACACAGCCAAAAAATAAATTTAAAAAAAAAAAAAGAAAAGAAAGTGGGCATATAACACCCACTTGGCACAGCTCTTAGGTAGTTTTTCCTATTTCCTTATGCCCCCCAGGCAATTTATATTGTTTGACAGTTACCACTCTTCATGGAGCAGTAGGCTTACTGGTTCCCATTTGGCCTTTTCCTTCAGCAACGATTTCATTACTCTAACTCTGAGGAGAAATTCACCAATACAGGTTTGCAGAGTTTGACACTGTATGATATCAATGCCCAATATGTTCTCTGGTTTTGAAGAGATAAAACTTTGTATCCCCAAAACTTTGTATTCTCATGGGGGAGAACAACCAATTTATAGTGTCAAAGAGACTTTTCTGATCATAACTGTTTGCCTCCATAACCACTGACGGCACTGAAGGGGCCAGGAAACTTCAGGGGGTGACTGTGTATTAGAGTACACTCAGTTCCAAAGTAAACCAGAGTCATCTTTTATTTCTGAGGGACCAGTGAATAGTGGACTCAACAAGTGGTCTCTGATCACCTCCAATGGCTCTCACCTAGAGGCCATCTTGGCCTGCATTCCACACATGGGACAAGGAAGGCACCAATCCTAAATAGGACTATATCCCTGAGGCCTCTGCTAGAGCAGGAGGGACATCATCAGGGATGGTTTAGATTGCCCCAAATCATAAATGTCTTGTCCCAAGACTGGGGCCAGCCTGAGTATCAGCATCCCATACCAGGTGCCAGGGGGGCAAACTAGAGTATCTTGATTTTCATTCCTGCAGTGAATGTAGCCTGATCAGGGCTTTCAAAGACAGGGGAGTAGATTGCCTGTGTCACTCCCAACTCTCTAAGAACTTGTACCTCTTTAGAGACTTCCAGGGTTCATGTACCCAGGGAGATCCTCCTCATTGGGTTCAGCCTCCCTGCAGACTGGAAAAATCCATTGTACAAGGGAGTAAGTTCTTTGAACGCCCTTCATGCCACGCAGGTGCTGCCTGCAGGCAGGTGTGTGGTGATGCTGCTCACTTCCCATGAATCCTACCTGGTGAGAGAAATCCCATCACCCCCTCCCTTGGTGTGCACTAACCATGCCTGAATTATTTTCCCTGGCCTTTTGCTGGAAATTGGCAGCTCCTACAATAAGCTCAGCAGGAGTATATTCTCTCATCAGAAATGTTTCCTGAATCGGGGGCTGACCTGCTGGCTGAGGTTGCTGTTGCTGTGCTTTTGTTTTCCTTTGTATTAAGAGTCAGACAGATGGGATGCTCCATCCATTTCATTGTCAATCACCATAACACCTTCCTCTCCATTCCCCTCACTTGTCCCAGCAACTCCACCTCTTAGCATCCCAATCAGGCTTCATAATAAGCTCTCAGACCTTAATCCACAGCAGCTTGTGCCCTCCTAGCTTTGCAAAACAGCACATTAAAGTCTCCGACTTATCATCCTACTCTCCCACCTGTCCTCCAGCCCCGAAGCTAGCAAAGCAGTAGATACCTGCATGTCTGTCTCTAACCTCAACTCTTCTTCCAACTTTCTAACTTGACCTTTAGCCTTCAGTTTGGCATCGCTAACCAGATGAACTGCTCACAGCAGAGCCCACCCTGTTGCAGCAGCCATCCATTTCCCTTCTTTGTCCCAGTGTACTCTGCACAGCTCCTCAAACAAGCACCTTAGACCAGCTGACGTTTTGGGGGCATCCCCATACCCACACAGTGGTCCACAAGCATCTAACACACAGGCCATCACCCCTACACAGAAGCCAATGTCCAACTCAGGATTTCCCTGCCAGTGTCTCTTTCCCAAGGCCCATTTCTTCAGTGTCCAGACTGACTTGTCAATTGTTGGTTTGCAAACTGAGAGGGAGAGACCAAAGAAAGAGGCAAATCACTTCAGACTGGCATGTGGCAGGCTTAATAGGCAAGGGAACTTACTTAAGAAGCTTGCCTTGGGCAGCTGCAGGATGAGCTCTCCATATCCACCAGCCAGAACCTTAAGTTTATATAGTGGCCTTAACTGGGCTCAGTCACATATACCATCCAGAGGTCTCATCAACACCTTACTCTTTGAAGGCTACATCCTTGGAACAGCTCCCACAGTGGGAATGGTGGGTAGAATGTAGAATGCGGGTCCAAGGACAGGAGAAGGGATGAGGTGTCTTTGACTGCCCAGGTCCAGCTTGCAGGTCAACCAGTGGTTACACCTTCTCAATGACCTCCTCCAAAAATGCTTCATACCTGGAAGGTAAGTAATCACTATTTAAGAAGAACAATCTCTTACCTCCCTTTTATTTACGAAATGTTTCACAAAAGAAGTGGAATTGTAAACAGTCTGTACAAACGAGAAGGGATATATTTATATGATAATGGAGAGCAATTTTTTAAATAATCAGAAAACAATATAGAGGAATGCTAATGTTTCCTTAAAGCTAGATGAAGTAAAGCAACATAAAAGTCACAGAAACCCAACTTAACTTCTAATTCTGTGGATAATTGAATGTGAATCTTTGATGAGCTAACCTTTGAGTTTTAGTTTCCTCATGGATAAAATGGATATATGACCACCTTTACATGACGCTGTGAGGTGCAGTAAATTATGCAGAAAAAGCAATTTATACAGTGCATAGCATACATCAGTAAGGTATTATATGTTTGATTAATTCAAAAAAATATCTACTGCATTGGCACTCATATCATCATCATTAGCTTTTGCTGCTATGGTCTACTAAGATGATTCTAGGATAGCTAATGCTATAGTCTTCATTTGCCCTATTACTTTGTTTCAAAAGTTTGTCTAATATCAGTAGCTACAACTTTAGAAGTAAAATTCTGGAGGTTAAAGAGTTTTAGTTGTACTCGTAGCCACTAATTTATATTGTATCAATTTATATCAAATTATATATCATATAATGTCACATTATCCACTGTATATTTTTACCAGCAAAACTCCTTCTTAATGCTCAAGTGTCATGTTTAAATTATTTAATTCTTATCCTGGAAGATTTTGATAGTACATGCATATCTCACAGTAACTATTTCTAACTGCTCATATTCTTTCAATTCATGTCTACAGTCCAGAAAAATCTTAATTATAACACAACTTGGTTATTATTCCAATTTTAGCCATGTGATCTTGGATAAATAAGTCCATTTCTCTTAGCCTATGGAATATAAAGATAGACAGATAGATAGACAGACAAAATCAGTCCTATAATAAATGTTCATTAAATGCCATCTATACTAAATTTTTCATTTAAACTTTCTACGGCATAATCTGGGTCACCAACGTTTTAAAAATAAGGCATCATCTGATGATTTTTGTCCTTCACGTGCTCTCTTGCATCTACATATTCATTTTGATTCCCACTGTCATCCTTCATCTGGACCCTCATCCCCAAATGTCTAAGTGATGATATTAACAGGCTCCCATCTGTTCTTTAGGCCTCCAGCCTCCTTCTCAACAAATCAAAGTCCTGCCAAAATAACTCTTCTAAAATATTTTATACCATGTAACTCTACTTAAAACATTCACTGGCTTCCCTCTGCCCAGAGTGAAATTACCAAAATACATTCCACGGAATAATCACTCCACACGATGCTTCTGAGAAACAAGGTTCTGAGAACATACTGGAAAACACGGCACACTTATCTTTTACTTGAAAAATCACAGTGAAAGTCAATATAACAAAGTCTCCAAAAATAGTAACTCCTTACTTTCCAAAATTTTTGATGTCGGGTTCCATCTTTATATAAGACCTCTAACTTGCATATCCAATTTGGATTTCTGGTAGGCTCACTGAGATTAATCTGTCCAAAAAGAGAACTCTTGACTCTCCTACGTCCCTTAATCCTGCTCCTACTCACACATCCCCACTCTCCCAGTTACTCATGACAAGAACTTAAACATCATTCTTGATTCCTCTCCTATTCCTCCCTAACATATCCAAACCATCAGCAAACTATCCGTCTCCTCTCATGAATAAATACTAAAACCAACCAATCGCTTCTTACAAAATACACTGAAAACACGGAAGCCCATTTATACTCTTGCACAACTCTATGAACTTTCTAAAGGATCTCTCTGCATCCACCCTGATCCTCAAAAGTCCGTTCTCCACAAAGAAGCTAGAATGACACTTTAAAAATATAGAACACATCATGTTACTTCCCTGTACAAAAGCATTCTGTGAATTCCTGCCACTTTCCATCATGGACTAACTGGGACCAGGCTAAACTTCCTACCATAAACAGTATAAAACTGCTCAAAAAAAGGTGAAACAACCATGTTTAGACAATGGATGTTGTTTATACACGGGACACAAAATTGAGATTTGTAAGGGAATAATACAAATGTCTTTAATATCAGAGGGTACTTTCTAAACAAGCAGAGGAAGCAGTCATATTGGGTTGAAGACACAAATATCAGAATTTGAGGAGATAGAGACTCACATTGCAGAGCAAGTTTCTAGAACAGTGTGGTATGCCCAGAAAAAGGGCTCCAGAAATCTGCTTAGGGTTGCTCTTAAGTCAAGTGTTAAATATTAATTCATGCATGCACAGGATAAAATTTAACAAGACTGAGCAAATAATAACTAGAAGCCGCAGGCTGAACAGAGCCCAGAGCTCACAAAGGGCCAGGAGACATTTGAGTTTCCATTAGCCATAATAGAGCTTGTATTAACTCCTGAGGTAGAGAGACAAAAGTAGAGATACAGAAGGTCCACATCTTCACAGTAGGACTGAACTATCTCTAGACCAAAGCCTATTCAAAATATATCTTTAAACTCTTTAAAATAAGCCGAGCGAATGAAACTCATATGCACACGACATAACCGTCTGTCAGAACAAAATACAACAGTCTTTAAAAGAAAACAACAAAATCAAGCAATTGGCAATGTAATATTCAAAAGGTATAGTATCTAATAAAACTTCTATGTATGAAGAAAAGCAAGAAAATTGAAAACTGAGATTCATAATTAGAAGTCAATAGAATCAGACCCAGAAATAAAAGAAATGATGGAATTTAAAGGAAATCATGAATAAAATAAAGAGCAAAGTGGAAGATATATAAACAATCACATAGAATTTCTGGATATGAAAAATGTATTATCTGAAACCAAAAAATCATTGAATGAGATTAATAGCCAATTAGGCATTACAGAAACAAATAACAGTGAACTTGAAGATCTAGTGAAGAAAATTTTCCAAAATAAAGTAGGGAATAAATACAGAAACAGAAAATGAAACAGAGCCTCAACAACCTATGGGGGAAATTATCAATTGATGTGTAAGTCCCAAAATTTAAAGAGAGGACACCAGAAAAAAAATTAGAAGACATAATGACTGAAATGTTTCCAATTCCATAAAAACTATATATTCTCAGATTTAAAAGACTAAACAAACCCCAAGCAGGATGAACACAAAGAAAACTACAGGAAATATCATAATTATTTTGCTAGGAACCAGTGATAAAGAGAAATTCTTAAAGCATCCTGAGGAAAAAGACACATTATATAAGAGGAACAAGGAAATAGTAATCACACACTTCATGCTGAAAAGAAACATGAAAGCCAGAAAACATCATTAAAGGACTGAAAGAAAAATCTGTCAACCTAGAATTCAATATAAAATTTTTAAAAATCCTTTAAAAATCCTTCAGAAGAACAAAACAGAGAATTTATCACTAACAGATCTGTACTATAAGAAATGGTAAAGGAAGATTTTCAGGCAGAAAGGATATCAAGTAGAAATCTGTACCTATACAAAGGAATAAATAACATCCAAAACAGCCAATATGTGGGCAAACATAAGTCTTTTTTTTCTTGTTTTGAATTTTTCTAAAACAGTTAAAATTCGGATAAGATCTGTAGTTAATAGTATCATGCCAATGTTAAGTTCCTAGTCTTGAAAACTGTGCTATGTCATGTAAGATGTTAACATTTGGAAGGCTGAGGGAGGAATACACAAAATCTCTGTACCATTTTTTGCAACATTTCTGTAAGTCTAAAATTAGATCAAAATGAAAAATTAATCAAAAACATAAGTTTACTCTTTAAAGCAAAAATAATGACAATGTGGGGCTTCACTGGGGCAGTGGTTAAGAATCCGCCTGCCAATGCAGGGGACACAGGTTCAACCCCTGGGCCGGGAAGATCCCATATGCCGTGGAGCAACTAAGCCCGTGTGCCATAACTACTGAGCCTGCTCTCTATAGCCTGCAAGCCACAACTACTGAGCTCATGCAACACGACTACTGAAGCCCACGTGCCTAGAGCCCATGCTCCACAACAAGAGAAGCCACCTCAATAAGAAGCCCATGCACCACAATGAAGAGCAGCCCCCACTCACTGCAACTAGAGAAAGCCTGCGCACAGCAACAAAGACCCAACACAGCCAAAAATTACAAAAAAAAAAAAAAAGCCATCCGTAAAAGACAAAAAAAAAAAAAAGAAGACAATGTATTTTGGGGTTTAACATGTAGAAGTAAATTATTTGACAACAATAAAATAAAGAATTGGAGTGTGAAATGGATCTGTGCAGTTGTAAGATTCTTACATTAGATATAAGTGACATAACATTATTTGAAAGTAGACTTTGATAAATTAAAATGCATATTGTAAACCACTGAGCAATTTCTAAAACAATATAAATAAATAAAAAGCAATAGCTATAAGCCAATAGTAGAGATAAGATGGAATACTAAAAAAAAAATACTAAATTAATCCAGAAGAGAGTTCAGGACAACAGGAAAAAGAGGAAAAAAACAGAACAAATTTAAAAAAACAAATAGCAACACAGATTTAAATCCAACCACTTACATTAAATATAAAAGATTTCAACACTCCAAATAAAAGAGTCATAAAACAAGGATGAAAAAACGTAAATGGATTGAAACCACAGAGAGTATATTCTGTGGCCCAAATGTAATTAAGTTAGAAATCAGTAACAGAAAAGTCTTGCTTGTCTTACTACACATGCATATTGTGATATGT